CCCTCTGCCAGGCTGCACCTCCCCCCCCCCGACTGGAGCTCTCTGCTAGGCTGAGCCTGCCCCCTGGCATCCAGGCAGCTGTGGTCAGAGCCTTCAGCTCCCCTTGGCTCCTGCAGGGAGGCATAGCAGGGCAGGAGCAAGCCTGGATCTGCCTGCTCTGTTAAGGAGCAAATCTGCCCTCAGCAGGGCACATCTATGCGAGATGCTAAAAGCACAGTAGACTAATTCTACTGCACATTAGTGCATCACGGCAAAACTGTGCTAATGTGCTAATGCACAGTAGAATTAGTCTACTGCACATTAGTGTCACTTAAAAGATGTATGCTGGCACTACTGTATAGTAGCACTGATTATGGTGTGTTAAGTAAGTACCTGTTTATCAGGTGTGTGTGCTATAAGGCTCATGTCCCATTTGCCTGATGCTTTACTGGAGTGAGCCATGGAGAGAACCAGATGGTCCTGTCATTATAAAGTTCTGATGTCCTTCTTTATCCCACCATGCCCTGATGTATGGGTTTGTTTATTTGAAACCTTGGGAGTTGGATACAGGCTGGGATAGGTCTCTGGGATGGGCTTTCTTCATGAGGCTCCTCCCCTTACACCCCAACCTAACCATGTCCAGGATGATGCGTGTCTTGGCCTAGATCTTGTGTCGGCTTGTCACACTTCAAACCTCGCCAGGATTTAAAGAAAACCTCTCAGGTGAGGCACTATCCCTGTCTCTCCTGCCATGTCTTGGTGTAAGATATAAAGGAGAGGTTCAGTGTGAAATCGTATAGGTGCCTGTGCGGGTTTTACTCAGGGTACTGCCAAAGCTGACATGGGGTTCTGCCTCCCCTACACCCCAGCCACTTGCCAACCACTGCTGATGGTGTTTCGTGATCTCCAACCACTGACACAGACTGCCAGATACTTCGTCCTAGTCCCTGTGGCATTCTCAGGATTAATCCCACTAATCACGATGGTACTTCTTCTCCCAGCAGACCTATTAGGATCACCGTGTCCCTTTAGCTAGCCTAATCCTTGGCTGTTGTTTCTCTTTTTTTTCAATCGTATAATAAATTAAAATATTGAAACTCAAACAAAGTTCTCTTGTCATGATGCTCTCTGACTCTGGCGTCCTCTAACTTTCCCTATTCTATAGAGCCTCCTGGCTCTTCTGATCCGTTTTCTTTCTTATTTAATCAAAATAGACCCCCACAGGGGTCTACCCTCCCTGACACTCCTGGCTTCTGCTCCCAGACGTTAGCTGCCTGGAGCCAGCTTCCATCCTGACTTCCTCTCTGGCACTCCTGGTGCCATTTAAATCTCTTGCAGTGGCATGTCTGGCTGATGTCATCAGCTGTGTACTGCCCATACAAGCCCATAGCGAACTCATAAAGCAATGCGGCTGCACCACATGCAGTTCCAATACAGGTTCCTGTTCCAACAAGTGCTGAGCACTTCCTTCTGACCCAGATCCCTTTTGGACCAGGTCAGAATGGGCACCAAGGTTTTGGGTGTTTGGGTGGCAGGTCGGGCTGCAGTCCTGAGCCACCACACAGCTGAAGATGCTGCTGGCTGTTACTTGCTATTCGCTAAATAAGGTTTATGTGTTAAGCTCCTTCATTCAGGATTTCTGAGTCTATCTTTAAATAAATTCATTACAGGCTCCAAGGCCCATAAATTAATAAGCCTGTTTAGAGTCTGAGAGACATCTACCTCACATCAATTCATCCTCATTTCCCAGGCTAATTAATGCCAATCAGTCTATAAAAGTTTATTGGACAATCCACCAGAATCAGTTCATCTCAGGTTCCTGGGTCAATCAAATTAAGTCAGCCCACAAAAAGTCCATCAATTAATCTGAAAAAAGTATGAAATCAATTCCTTCCTAGTTCCTGGGTCAATGAAATTACCTCAGCACTTCAAGTGCTCATGGGGCAATCAAACAAAATTAATACCTCCTCGGTTTTGGGGTCAGTCAGCTTGAAATTAATTTTACTGGGATTCCTACCCTGCCTTAGCTCCTCAGGGTCTGGATCAGTGCTTTCAGAGGGAAAGGGTCTTTCCCTCCTGCTGCCTTCCCAGCACTTCGAGAAGGGAACACAACTCCTCCCAAAACAAAAAGAAATGAAGAGAGAGAAAATCAAAGGATCACTGCCCCTTTAAACTCACAGACCCACATGCACCAGCTGCTCTCCCATGCTCCCTCGGTTCCGATTCCTGTATCTGCCACTTTAGTCTTTGCCTAACTGTCTTGGAGCAGCTCCTCAGTGTGGTGCATCCTGGGTTCTTTCGGTGGTCCTCTGACCACCTTGGCCAGTGTGTTGGCTTGCTTCCTCTGTGGTTGTCTGCGGAATGCTGTAAGTGGAGAAGACCTCGTGTCCCTCTGCTCCGCGAGCTGCAGTCATCTCCTGGCTGCCTCTCTCCAGGGCCAGAAATACCAGTCTTTGTGCTCCCTCTGCCAATACGGAGGGAACACATACTATGAAAATGCGGCAGCATGCTCACAGCTCCAGCTTGACTTCTCTCAGTAACAGAGGTAAGTACTTCTTGGTCAAGTTTCTGCGGGCTTTTCTCCTGCCCCATTCTCTTCCCCTCACATTGTTATTACAGGTACTAAACTTAATGCACCGTACTTAGGGCACACTAATGTATGTGTAGACGTGTCCACAGGGTGCACATGTAGATGTGTATCTGGGGCAAGTTTACTGCACCGTATTTTACTACACAGTAAGCCTAAATTGTATTAATAGCACATGTAGATGTATGGGCAGTTGGACAGAAAGCTCAAGTCCAATTATCTTTTGTTCACAGCATCTCTCAGCTTGTTGGCATATCCAAATCTTTCATTTTACAAATATTTAATTTAAGAGGCATTATTAAATGGTTTCTGTCAAGCTTTTTGCATGATTTGTGCTGTTACCAGACTCTGTACTATTAAAAAATATTTTTATAAGTATACTATATACAGAAGGCCTATTATTATACAGTTCTCTGTCTTAGTTATTTTTATCATCCATGTCAGTATACAGAATTCAGTCATTTGCTTTATTTTTATATAAAAAATCAGAACTGTATAAATAATATAGTTTGTAGAGTATTGGTTTTAATACAAAAATAGCAAAAAGAACAGAAAACCCTGTGTGTGTAAATAACCAATGAGGTTATGTCAGAATGCTTCAGAAAATGATTAAGTACCATGCTACCACCTGACCTGTTTAGTATTGTTAAAAATCGCTCTCGATACCTCAAGTTTCACTGACCTGTTATTGGTCTTTGTGTTTAACAAAACCTCACCATTTTTGGAGATTTCTGGAGATTTTCTTGGCATCTCTGATTCCTTGGCAGGACTTAGATTAATACAAAACAATGTCAAATGGCATTTTTTCATATTCTACACATAATTTTCCCTTTCCAAATGGATTGTATGGTGATATGCTATATTTATCCAGTCACATTTTATGTAAGTGCTCTGTGTGTTTGTGGTGAGGTGGGGAGGGGTTATATGTGTGTATGTGCACATACACTGTATGAGTGGATGGATGGTCTTGTTCAGGCATTGGACTACAGTGCAGGAAAGCTGAATTTTTAGTGTACTTCTGATATAAAGTTTCCCCCATGAGCCTTGGTAGCTTATTTAGCACTTGCTCCAAAGCCACTTGACATTTCCAGTGATCTGCTCAATATTTCTGAAATCTAGATTAAAAGCTTGATTTCTCTTTTATTTTTAGCCTCATCTTTAAAATGGAGAGGACAGTCCTTTCATTCCTCGCAAGAATCTTGTGAGGATGAAGTTTTTGGGAGGAAAGTTGGAACCCGGAGGGCCCGGGGAGAAGAATGGGGAGGGAGGAGACTTTATGTTGTTAATTAAAAGCAATTTGGCAATAGAGCATTACTTTTTGTTAATGTATATTTGCAGAAGGTTTTCCTTGTGTCTAAATTAATTAAAATTCAGTAGTTCCCTGCCTGATATTCAGCTTACTTCCATGTGCTCTCTGCCTCAAGCTGCTTTACTTTCTACTTCCTGTCCTGTCTGCTACTGTGCTGTCTTTCCCATCCCCAACCTGCCACATACTACACATGCAGGCTACTCATGCCACTTAGGCATACCTACCTCAGGTTGCCCACCCCTAGTGTAGATGTTCCCTCCCGTACCTTTGCTGATAGCAAATATGCATGCAGATGGTAAGGTAAGTGCTGTGCACATAGTTAATATCACTGCTTCTGGCCAGTCAGGCAGATATCATTGAAATAGTCATGACGTTTTTCAGAGAGATCTCAAAGCTATTATGTTCTAATGATGACTATTTTTAGAATATAATATTTTATTGAAAAACTAATGTGATAAATCTTAAATATAAAATAGGATTTAGGGTAAGAGATTAACCTCTTGAAGCCAAGAATTGGCACTTTTCCATGTTCAGAAGTAGAAAGCTAAGCATCAGGCAGACCTGATTGCTTCTTGTGAAGGTACAGGTAAAGGACTATGTGGGTAAAATACTGTGGAAAATTGTTCTGTGACCTTTGTTTTCATTAATATGTCTCTCTGACATTTTTCAGACATTGATGAATGTTCAGTGAACAGACTGTTGTGTGACAATGGTCTGTGTCGAAACACACCTGGAAGCTACAGCTGCACTTGTCCAAAGGGTTATGTATTCAGCACTGAGACTGATACGTGTGAAGGTAAAAAAAACTTCCAATACAAGCATTCAGATTGTGTTGGGCTTATCACAGTTGGAGTTTGTTAGATAGTCAGAAAAGACTCAGAAACAGTGCCAAAAGTTACCTGGGAGGAAAGGACTAAATTGTAGCATAAGTTATATGATATATCATATGTATTATGGTACATTAGTATAATGGACTATGACATTGGATTTCAACCAATAAAGCCAGTTCATTTTCTATGTGATGGTAAGTTTTGTTAAGGAAACAGTTTGAAGTGAAATTAAAAGAACTTGGGACCTGTTCCTATGCAGATCCTAAGTTTATGGACCAGGTCTACTAGTCTATTTTTTGTCAAAACAGTTTGATATCCCTCATCTCCTCTGACCAAGTATAGGATTGTGAGAGCTTGTTAGAAAGTTTAAAACTACTTATCTTGACTGATTCTTGGTACTCTTGATATCAACAGGAAAATTTCCTGGACTGTACTGCACATTAATATTAAGATATTTCTTTTCTTGCAGCAAAACATGAATATTTGTAAAGTTGTTGTTGTATTGTGGACCTGAATGATACAGATGACATATCAATGAAAAACAAACACAAATTAATGAGACATTTTTGCTTGTAAAGTCACTTTTATGTGGGGGAGAGGGGGACTGGGACAGCAAATGAGGTTGAAGTGCATGGAGTTTTCAGTCTTGTTCTGTTTCCAAGGAAATTATTTATAATATTCAGGAA